GACGAGGCTGACAGATTCAGCCAGTAAGAAAACAATGAGCTGCCACTTACTAGATTCAGAGAGTTTATTATTTACTTGGACAGCCAAAGCAAGAGTAGCCAAAGGTGCCAGCTCTGGTGTCCCTACACAGGGTGACACAGAAACAAGAAAGGGCTGGGTGACCACATCCTGGGTGATAGTGTACCCTGCTGCTGAGGAGCCAACACAAAGTTTCAGCAAAGCACTTTTACAGCCTACAGCTGTACCCAAGGATGATAAGGCAGAAAGTTTCATATCTCATCAGAACACAGGAGGCAAGGAGAAACTGAGAGAAGAATGAGAAACCACCTTGTAACAGCTCCTCACCAGCCTTCCATGGTCTCTTATTCCAGGAAAATCAAAGAGCATTCCATTAAGGTTTGGATCAGCTGTAGTCAAGCGTTGGGTACGTGGCCTAGGTGCAAGGGCACGTGCATATGTGCAGAGCACTATGGTGGAGCCATTTTCCTACATTTAGTTTCTGTGGCCATTTGTGTGACTATGATTTTGTTCTTCAAAAGTAATGAATCTGACCTGAACAAATTATGTCTTTAGGTGTAAAGAAGATCAGGAAATTGAGTCAGCTCATGACCTGGTGGTTGAGATGGCTAGATCTCACATCGCTTAGAGTGGCTTGAGTCCTGGATCCAGCTGCTTGAAAAATATGCTGGACACATATACGTGTGTGCCCAGGGTCTGGACAGGAGGAAAGATAGAGAAAGGATTATAACAACCGTGTTTCATGGAGGTTGCTTTTTTCTTTTTCCTGTCTCTCTCTGTGTCTCTTAGACAAGCACACATGCTCTCTAGTAATATTTAAAGAAAGAAAAAGTACTAAACTTCAAAATATAACAATATATAAAAATTAGAATTAAAAAAAATCAAGCAGAGTAATTACTCTAGTCAAAAAGGGTTAAATTGGTAGGTAAATCTTCATTAAACTTGAAAGTCACTGGTTGGTTTCAATCCCTAAATTGTGATAATAAATAAATCGGAAACTTCATGAGATCCAGTTGTTTGTCTCATTTCCGGTCTCCTGCCCTCAACCCCTTACTTCACATTCGTCCTACTTTATGGAACAAACGATGACAAATGAGAAACAGGAAGCGGGAAGAATCCATTGAAAAAGTTGCTTGTCCTGGGCCAGCCAGGTGGTGTGATAGTTAAAATGGCTGGATCTCACATAGCCGATTCTGTGGTTGCTGTCTCAGACCTGGGGAATTGGAAAATTTGCCAGTGTGTATGCATGTGTGCCTAAAATCCCGAAAGGAAAATTGAGGAAAAGAAACTGTGGCATGGCCATCCCCCTGGGGGGCAGTGATTTATCTCTTCCTCTTTCTCTCTCTCTTTCTCTCACTTTCTCTCCAGTGAGCAAACATGCCCTATAGCAAAAACTAAAAAAAAAAAAAAAAAAAAAAAAAAATTGCTTCTCTAACCCTGGCTTCCTCCTCCTTGCCCTTCACTATTGCATTCTAGGATAGCACCCTCCCCCCCATAACATTTTAACATGTACACTTTTCTCAAGCACTGCTTTCTATGCAATCTGGGTTAAAGCAGTTACTTACATTTACTTTTTTTTTTTTTGTCATAGGGCACATGTGCTTGCCAGAGAGAGAAAGAGGGAAAGTGAGAAATCATCCCTCAGGAGGGATGATCAAACTCCAATCCCTTCTCCTCCAGTCTCTTCTAGGGATTTTGGGTATGTACACCCCTGCCCCCAGTATGATTCTCAAGCCATCCAGTCTGAGACTTGAACCACGGCTGGCCATGTGAGAGTCCAGAACCTTAAACACCACACCATCTCCTGGCCTCTACTTATATTTACTTTTACATGTTCATTCTGAAATATTTCGCACACGTGCAAAAACAGAGAGAAGTGCTAAGAACCCCCTCATTATCTAGATTCAAAAATTATCTATAGTTTTACATGTGAGATAGATCTATAGTTTTACCTCACATTTATGTCATCTTCCCCCCCCCCCCCCGCCTCTTTTTTGGGAGGGTAGGGTGGGGAGGTTGAAGTATTTCATAGTAAACTCCAGAAAGTGTGTCATTTAACTTCAATATACTTCAGAATGTTTCTCAAAAAATTATGCATATTTTCTTACATAAACACAATGCCATTGATATACCCAATAAAATAACAATGTGTCTTTGGAACTGGCAAACACAGGTCCATAGCCAAATGTTCACGATTGTCTTACAAGTCTTTTTAGAGTTGTCATGTTGAGTCAGAATCCACACAGAGTTCACACCTCGTATTTCATTACTGTACATTTTTAAACTACAGCAACTCCTGCCCCCCTTCTCTCTCCCCTTTTTGTCCTTTGTGTTTTTTTCTTTTTTCTCATTGTATATCTTTACAATGTACAACATGGCTTTTCCCAGCATGAATACAGTGCATACTAGTCAAGTCAAGGACATTACCATGTATGTTATCATTGACAGATAACATTTCACTTTTGTTTTATTTTTTCCCTGATTCTCTCACCCCAAATTACCCACTCACTATTACCCACCCCCTCCTATTCTGCCTTTAGTATCTATAGTTAATGTCTAGTATTTGCTGTTATACCTTTCAATCTTTCATTTTCTGCTATACAGTACAGACATTTGGTTTGTATTAAGCAGGGACATATAGTGTTTGTTTTTCAAAGCCTGGCTCGCTTCGTTTAGCTTTAATTTTTACATATTCATCCACGTTGCATTAAAGGTCAAGGTCTCATTGTTTTTTTATGGCTGAGTAGTATTCCAGAGAGTACATGTGTGCCCAGAGTGTTTTTTAAATCACCAGAGCCAAGATTTGAATCACGTGGTTGGCCATGTGGGATCCAGTCCTTTAAACAGTAGGCCACGGGGCTGGCCTAGAATCTTCATTTTAAACAGATTTTATAAAAGAGCAGCTTTAGGTTAAGAACAAAATTGATCAAGTATATAATTCCCAAGAACAGTCAGACCCTACACCTGCACAGCCCTCCTGACTACCGGTATCTCGTACCAGAGTGTTGTTCTGGTACAAGTGATGAACTGACAGTGGCCCATCATTTGTACCCAAAGTCCAGATATTACATTATAGTTCAGTTGTCATGTGCAGTCTATGGATTTTGAGGAATGTATAATGACATGTATCGCCATCAAAGTATTGTACAGAATAGTTTTACTGCCTTACAAATCCTGTGTGCTCCAGTTATTCATCAACCCCCCAACCATAATTTTGCCTTTTGCAGAATGTCGTATGTTGGAATCACACAGAATGTAGCCTTTTCAGATTGCCTCAGCTTCTACTGATACTAAAAATATTTGAAGAATCTTAGTAACGAAGTCAGGTTAGACTTAGAGACTCTTTGTATGTTTATTTACTTTCCACTATAGTAAAATCTGTACACCTGTGTTTCTGTTGTTTACCCATGCACATCCCATCCCAACTGAGCAGGAACTCCATCCATGTAAGTTGAGGTCACAGTAACAATAGGGCCCAGTCCAACTTATATATATATAGGACCTGGCTGGTTTCTGATAAGGATGGTTTGTCCTATAGACTAACTGCTCTTGAAATTCCCTAGCACTGGCAGAAAAGAGTTTTCTTTACAGTGTTCATTTCAGTGACAAATAAGAAAAACTGGCACATATCCTTTTCACAGGAGAACAATTTAGTTCTCTTTAAGAGACTCTTGGAGTTCTAATTATCAGACCTTTAGAATTAATTTTGAAGCAAGAATGCCAGCCAGAACGCCTGTTAGTGACATTAGTACTAAATGATCTGAAAATGCACGGAATGGTTTGGCAGTATCCACGAGAAAAAAAGACAGAAGCAATAAGGTATAATTGGGGGAGAGGTAAAAATAAGGGGAGAAAAACTATTTTCTGCCAGTTCAGTACTTCTAGGTTGTACTTTTTCGTAAGTTGTAATAACTCCGATACGACTTTGTACCATTTGAGGTCAAAAGCTTAAGTATGAAATTCCAGTTTCTCAAAAATAGGCCATTTGTTCCACATCACCCATTTTGGCTTGGCTAGAGGCAGCAAAATTAGACAGTTTTCCTCTGTGCATGAAAGTAGGAAAAACATAGCAAGATGTCCCCTAGCGAGGAGACCTCCCTGAGGTGCTTTGCCATTGTAGCTGTGTCCTTAAGCAACTATGGGGTCTAGGGTTCCTGACCTATAACGGGGAGGAGCTGAAGACAGAGTTTCACAGAATTTTCAGCTCTTTGTTGACCCCTCAGTTTAGAGCAAGTACGCAGTAACTGCTTACTGAACCAGTGCTACTCCCGATTCATTGAAGATCCTGTCCTGGTTTTGCGTCTGACCATGGGCCGGTGCTCCAGGGGCTGATTTTCCGTCGGGGGCGGAGCTTCGCCCTGCGGCGGGGCCGCGCGCTGGGGGGCCGGGGCGGAGCTTGCCGCCGGCAGAGGGCGGGGTCTGTGCGGGGACTTCCCCTGGGCTGAGCAGCGCGGCGGGTGCGGAGGGTGGTGGCTGGGTGGGAAGCGGTGGGCCTGGTGAGGGTGGGCGGCCGTTCAGCTCAGACCCCTGGTTGTCCCCTGGGGTCGGGACCTTTCCCTCGGGGTTGTCCTTCCGCGGGTCAGGAATTGCTGGGAGGCGGAGAGCTGCTCGGCCGTCTCTCTTGCGGTGAGCACGAGCATGTGTACGTGCGCGTGTTTATCCGAGGCCTCTCCTGGCTAACTCGGGTGGGAAACCCGCGACAGCTGGCCCGGAGCCGACCCTTCCCGCGGAGTGGGGGAGCTAGAGCACGCCCTCCCCTGGTCCCCGCCAGGTGCAGTTCTTACTCCCAGCCCTGGCCCTGAGGGAGCTTTGTGGGCACCGGCTGTCCCCTCCCTGGAAGTGCTGGGCAGGTGGTGGGAGTTCTTCGGAGCTTAAACCGCAGGATTTTAAAGCATGTGTCCGTCTCTGTCGTTTTTTCTTACTTTTAGGGTTTTGGCCAAATTGGGCGAGGGCACAAAATAACCACTTACCCCTTCCAAAATATCCACTTCCCCCTTCTCGCCGAGGAAGAGCGTGAGAAAGGGTAAGTAAGTACGTATTAGGGGTGGAAGGAGCTAGGACTTTCTCCTGAGAGAGCGCGCCGCCCAGCGCGCCAGGGAGAGGAGGTCCAGGTCTAGAACAGCCCAAAGGCACCTTTTCATCAGAACTGGGGACCCACCTGCTGATCACAGGTCCCAAGCCCATGACGTTTTTCAGGCTTGCAGAGCTGTGGAGTTGGCAAGAGTTTTAACAGCTTGGCATAGATCTCTCTTAGCCACTTGACGGAAGAGTGTCACCTTCACCTCCTTTAACCTGGGACTTTGGTCCCTTAGTTTCTCTCTTGGGCTGGTATGAGATAAGCTAGCTCTGGCTCATTCCTGAGACAGTTCTAAGAAAGAGTCAAAGTCCTCTTGATAATTAAAGGACCCCCTCCAGGGATCTTCACATTTTCAAAACGGGACTCCTGAAAAAAATGCTTTAGGACCTCAAAACATAAAATTAATAGCATCTCAAGTGTTGAAGTTTCCTTGGAATCTTTTCTTAAGCTTATAGAGGAAGGAAGATGTTTTTATGGGGGAAGAAATGACCCGGTTTAGCATTTTTCTTTTGACTTTCACTTTGATACTCCCTAGCAAACATTTCTATTCACTTCTGAAAAGTTGCCAAACAGCACATTGCCGTCTTTGGAAGTATGATTTTCAGTGTCCTCTCTGTCATTGGTTTTCTGGGATTTTTTTTCCATCACATCTCCCATGTACTGCTTCACCTCTCACTGGTATGGTAAAATGACACACACAGCTCCTCTCAGGTCATATGTAAAGAAACATTTTAAATAAGTTAAAATTCACGTTAGCTGGGAGCAAGACTGTATTAAACCATTCTTGGAATGCCATATGAAAGCTAGATTTGCCTATCACTGTCTTGACATTGGCTGCCTGTATCCTGAGCCTGCTTGCCCTTTTGTGCCCAAGTTGTAGGTGACTTCATAATTTACTATATGAAAATCCAGGATATGTTTTTTTTATTGATGCTAGGTACATTCATTAACCCACAGGTAAAAATATCTCCTCCCTACCATGTGCTGAGTTCTTTGCTAAAACTAGGCTAGTGAGAATGAGGAGACTGAGTTGGAGATGGCCTGTGGATTTTCTGAATAGTCACTGTTAGTGTGTAAGACCTTACCTTCGCTGCTGATCTTAATGGTTTGCTGGCCTATGTAGTATGGTGGGACAAGAAGGTTCCTATTCTGCCCTTGTGGTATTTTTAGTGATAAACTTTCAAAGATGACCTCTCATTCATATAGTGAAATGAAACAGCTCAGCTCCTCTCAGGTGTCGAACCATGGTGATTTGTGAATAGTGTGAACAGTGTAATAGTATGTCACCATAACAAATAGTGTAATAGTCATAAGTAATAATTGTACCAGTATAACAGATGAGAATAACTTTTTGGATTGTTTTCTTTTTTAAAATAATTATTTGTGTTTTAAATTATTTATTTATTTATTTATTTATTTATTTATTTATTTATTTATTTAAATTTGACCAGAGAGGGACAGAGAAAGAAAGTGAGAAAGCAAGCCACCAGGTCCTGGACTTGAACCGTGGTCAGTCATGTGGAAGTCAACACAATCACGACGCCACCTGCTTTCCCTTGAATTGTTTTCTAAGAAGGACCTAATACTAGAAAACATAAATAGTGTTAGGGATGTTGGCTTATTGGCTTATTGAAAATAGGTACCTCTGTAGATTTAACTTGCATAGGTTTCTGTACATTTAAATTTTGTTTGCATCAAAGCAAGAAAAAGTATGTTTTCTTGCTGCAAAATTATATAAAGTCAAAACAGAGCTACTTAGAATTAAAGCTTGCAGGGATATGAAAGGTAGAAAGTGTTCTTTTTTGTAAAAAATTATTTTATTTAACTTTATTTATTTATTTAATTTGACCAGAAAGGAGCAGAGAGAGAGAGAGAGAGAGAGAAAGTGAGGAAGCAAACCACCAGGTCCAGAACTCGAACCATCCATGGCCAGCTATGTGGTAGTCTAGGTAGTCTAGCATCCTTAACCACCACGCCACCTGCTAGCTGCAAGGTAGAAAGTCTTCCATGAGCCGCTTTCAGATGACCACAATTAATAATTTTGTCTTTATTTCTTCAATGTTTTGCTCAATAAGTTTAAGTAAATGCATACTATGAAAAAAATTATGCATGGATTTCAGTTTATTTGCACCAAAGTAAACTCATACTTCAATTCCATTTTTCCATGAACTTTTTGAGGTACACTCCCACACTATATACAGAACTTAAATTACATGTTAAGCATACAACTTTGCTGTATTCATGTGCCACTGTTATTTAGTGAAGTGAATTTCTTCCTTTTCTTCCAACTTCTTGGCTACTTACCATTACCCTTTACTTCACCTCAAATCCTCATGTAGAAGTAGCATGACTTTTACAGTCATTTAGACATGTGCTTGAATTCTGGTTCCTGTTTTACTAGCTCTGTCACTTTGGGCCAGTTAAAACTTTTCTGCTTCTTGACGAATCATCTGTCAAAACAGGATTTTATACACACACACACACACACACACACACACACACATATATACACATATACATACACACACATACATACTCATAAACATGTAGATCTCACTATAAATTTCCCTCCCTGTGTCTCTATCTGGTCACTTACCACTTTCCTTTAGATTGTGGAACTCTAGTACTTACTTTCCTGTGAGTGCTTAAGTCTCCAGAGTATGTGCTTTTTCACATAGGATCACAGTCTGTATCTGATCCTAGAGTTTTGGGACAAGGACTAAGACCTGTGTGGCCCAGATTCCGTATATCAATCATTTCACATCCCTGTCTAAAGAATTTCAGCTTGAAAAGTGAAAGGAAAGTGCTTCTATATGTTTAAAAAGCTTTGACACTGTTCCCAAAGTGAGAAAGATATACTACTGCATTTAGCTGGATGCTTAAACTTAGGATTTCTATTTTAGAAATGTCTTCGGTTTATAAGAATTACAATAAAAATGCTGATGCTTCATGTCCAAACTGTCATGATTTTGCCAAGTCGTGGGTTTAATATATAGCTAAGCTGTGTATTTAGTATATCTAATACTGCTCTGGAAGCTGAGAAAGACAAGTCCACAGACATCTGATTTCACACTAGACATCTGGTTTCACTTTGCTAATGTCAGTAGATTATAGGCGTAAGAGAGAGAGAGAGAGAGAGAAAGTGAGGAAGCAAACCACCAGGTCCAGAACTCGAACCATCCATGGCCAGCTATGTGGTAGTCTAGGTAGTCTAGCATCCTTAACCACCACGCCACCTGCTAGCTGCAAGGTAGAAAGTCTTCCATGAGCCGCTTTCAGATGACCACAATTAATAATTTTGTCTTTATTTCTTCAATGTTTTGCTCAATAAGTTTAAGTAAATGCATACTATGAAAAAAATTATGCATGGATTTCAGTTTATTTGCACCAAAGTAAACTCATACTTCAATTCCATTTTTCCATGAACTTTTTGAGGTACACTCCCACACTATATACAGAACTTAAATTACATGTTAAGCATACAACTTTGCTGTATTCATGTGCCACTGTTATTTAGTGAAGTGAATTTCTTCCTTTTCTTCCAACTTCTTGGCTACTTACCATTACCCTTTACTTCACCTCAAATCCTCATGTAGAAGTAGCATGACTTTTACAGTCATTTAGACATGTGCTTGAATTCTGGTTCCTGTTTTACTAGCTCTGTCACTTTGGGCCAGTTAAAACTTTTCTGCTTCTTGACGAATCATCTGTCAAAACAGGATTTTATACACACACACACACACACACACACACACACACATATATATACACATATACATACACACACATACATACTCATAAACATGTAGATCTCACTATAAATTTCCCTCCCTGTGTCTCTATCTGGTCACTTACCACTTTCCTTTAGATTGTGGAACTCTAGTACTTACTTTCCTGTGAGTGCTTAAGTCTCCAGAGTATGTGCTTTTTCACATAGGATCACAGTCTGTATCTGATCCTAGAGTTTTGGGACAAGGACTAAGACCTGTGTGGCCCAGATTCCGTATATCAATCATTTCACATCCCTGTCTAAAGAATTTCAGCTTGAAAAGTGAAAGGAAAGTGCTTCTATATGTTTAAAAAGCTTTGACACTGTTCCCAAAGTGAGAAAGATATACTACTGCATTTAGCTGGATGCTTAAACTTAGGATTTCTATTTTAGAAATGTCTTCGGTTTATAAGAATTACAATAAAAATGCTGATGCTTCATGTCCAAACTGTCATGATTTTGCCAAGTCGTGGGTTTAATATATAGCTAAGCTGTGTATTTAGTATATCTAATACTGCTCTGGAAGCTGAGAAAGACAAGTCCACAGACATCTGATTTCACACTAGACATCTGGTTTCACTTTGCTAATGTCAGTAGATTATAGGCGTATCAGCTGTATTGCTGTAGTTTGTGGCAGTTCTATCAGAAGCTCAGGTCTGTAGGGTTTAACTGTGATGTTTTATTCAAATGACAGCACACTGAAAATGGGCACCTGGTCAGATAAGCACATCTCCCACAGTTGTCTTCTGGTGTCATTGTTCTTACAGTTAACAAGGTGAAATAGTGTCTGTCTTCGGTGATTTTTTATATTAAAAGTTTTCGTAGAAGCAGAAATACTCTTGTTTTTGTGTCAGAGGGTGCATATGCTTGCCAGAAAGAGTTAGGGAGAGAGGGAGAGGAGAAAGCACCTTTCTCCCAATGGAAAATGGTCATCTTCAGCTCTCCCTCTCTTTGGGATTTTGGGCATGCATGCATATGTACCTGGTGTGTTTTTCAAGCCACTGGTACAAGACTCAAACCATACATTTAGCCCTGTGGGATCCAGCTACCTTAACCACCAGACTATGGCACTGAGCCTGTTTGTTTGTTTTTTTTTTGTTTTTGTTTTTGTTTTTTTTTTTTTGGAGAGATTTTCACTGTAGGGCGCGTGCGCTCGCCAGACAGACAGACAGAGACA